AGCAGCTCACATACTTCTAGTCATCAAAGAACTTGCAGGGTAGCTGTCTGAAATCCAGATGAACAGTGATGAATGAAGGCATCAGATACTCAGAGGGCAGAGAAACATTTCTGAACTACAGAATAATGTAGCCTCTTAGTCCAGTCGTAATGTAATTTAGTGGTATTGACAAACAGTTAAAATTACTTAGGCTTGAGTTTTCCAAATTCTTGCAAACCTTCTGAAGTGTTATATTTAGTAATATGTTGTTTGCTTATTTGTTTTTCTGTTGTTGTTCTCTTGTCACATTTTCTTAACCAGGAAAATTTTTGATTTGGTGCTTATTCAGATAATACAGATGGCATAATGTCTCACTGCTCTGACAGGTGATTTATTTTGTTATTTCTCCTATTTTCTATTTCCTCTCCTTTGCTTTCCTTTCCTCCTTTGCTCTCCTCTCTCTAGCCCTTTTTTCTTTAAGCTGTCTCAAGACCCCATCTCTTATTTATGTGCTCTCATGCTCAAGTCAATTTATAAATGTAGACAGAAATATGTACAAATGTCAGCTTTATATTTTGAGTGGAAATTACCTTACTAGAATGTTTATAAAAATGGATTACTTCTCTCAGGAGATTCATTCATCAAGACAGAAGTTGGTCCTCCTATACAAAATGGAATGGAAATAGAAGCAGTGAAAATACACTAGGATAAACACAGTGATCAGGGATTAGATGGGGAGGGGAAGCCTTATTTGGAGGAAAACTGCTGGCTGCTTGTGAGGCAAAGAAATAGAACAGCAAATGTTCCTTCAAATTACAACACAAGAGGAAGGTTATCTGGGGATGTACTAGACTTAAAATTTTATCCGGGACTGCCTTGAACCAAGGCTGAGCTCCTAGAATTATAGGTATATCCATGCAGATGTCAACATCATAATTTCATGGGATTCTAGAACCTAAGAGCTGAAGGATTCTGTAAGACAAGAAGGGCAGGTCTTATCCAAAGTCACACAACATGTCATAGCTGGGACTAGAACTCAGATATTCTGATTCCAAGGTTATTTTAAAATTTCACTGCTTATAAGCACTGTATTGTTTTCCAGTTCCTGGAGATGCACCCCGCTTTTCACCTATGTTCTTCCCTATCCTCTCTAGTTTGCTTTGTGGGATGTGCTCATCAGGCACTGTTTCAGTCACACTTCCAGTTCTGGCACCCTTATTATCACTAGCAATACCACTTAACCTAGAGGGGAATGACTTAGTAGATTATACAGTCTACCTAGATTCTTCTCACTTGCACACAGAGAGAAGCAGTTTATTTGACAGAGAGAAGCAGTTTATTTTATCTGCGGTTGAAAATCTGTCCTGAGAATATTCAAGGACTTTCTTAAGGGAATTAATATCTTTACTCTTTTGTACCAACGTAAAGATTTCCATCATGTGTAGAAAATAGCACTCCCTTTACTGTAAGCATATTTTGGGGGTAAAAAGATGAGTTAATTCCTACCTACTATGACTAAAGTACTTCAGGAAGTCTAGCCAGGCAGGCCTATTATGGACTGTAGCAAATTAAAGAGAAGTGCTTCCCAGTTCACTTCTTCTGTACCTTCTTTATGCACTGAAGAAGATGGTTTTTACTTAACATGATGTTTCTCCAGTATATGTGGTTTAGAAAAAGAGGCAAGTTGGTAGTGCACCACTTCCTCTGTGATTGGCCTTTTACAGTTGGGATGCTTTTGTCTCCACTTAGCCCGTTTATTATTCTGCCTTTGAAGTCAACATTTTTTGTTAGTTATTTATAAAACACAGATGTCTATGATTGTTTTGATTGTATTGTGATCTCTTCCTAAACCGTTTTTTTCTTTAGTAGGTATTTAGTTTCCTCATGTCTTCAGAAAACATATACATGCACACAATTCATGTGGTCAAACCACATCCTATATAACATGTGGATGATAAAATAGGCTTGCTTCTAAAATAAGCTATTTATTACTATTTGAAGAAATAGTAATGATATAAAGGGAGCATAGAAGAGCTTTATTGAGGAGATAATTTTATGTGGAGATTAACTTATATGCATCTCCAATAGATAACGCATTAGTTAACAGCATAGGAATTGTGTCTGATGTGTAAAACAGCTTACTCCTCAGCGTTCACTACATATAGACCAGCATAAGGAAACTGGTGACAGCTGAAAAGCAAATTATCAAACTCCAAGTTAGATAAGTATGTGTTTCTGAGGTCAGAAAGTGACCCACTCTTTTAATATATCTAAAAGCCCATTAATGCAGGTATTTTAAAAAACTTAATTTTGCTTCATGCTGCCAAACCATCAAAGCCATATAACTATTTAGATGGACACTGAAGAGATATTAAAAAATGGACAAAAGACCTGAATAGTCATTTTTCCAAAGAAGACATACAGATGGCCAACAGGCACATGAAAAGATGCTCAACATCAGAGAAACGCAAATCAAAACCACAAATGAAATATCACCTTACACCTGTCAGTGAGGGAAGATTCTTGTGGACAGGTCCCTCTGACTTTCACATGAGACCATTATGGAATCAAACTATAAAAGAAAGACAACAGGAAAATCTCCAAACAACTCCAAATAACACACTTGTAAATAATCCATGGGTGAAAGAGAAAGCCTTGAAGAAAAAAAAATTTGAAGGATTATAAAGATATATGTATATATATATATGTACTCTTTATGTACATGGATATATATAAATAAATTATAATAAATAAGCTTTACACTCATAACTTTGACAATTTAGAAGAAATCAGCCAATTTCTTGAAAATCACAAACTACTAAAACTCAGTCAAGATGAAACATAATCTGAATAGTTCTATAACTATTACAGCAATTTAATTTATAATTTAAAAGATCTCCCAAAAGAAATATCCAGGTCCAGATACTTTCACTGGA